AAAACATTACAGGATGGAATAGGAGAAACCCCAGGTCTCCTTGGCTCAGGCCGAAATTTTCTGAATAGAGACCCGGAAACACAACAAATCAAAGAAAGGTTGGACAAATGGGATTGCATAAGGTTGCAGAGCTTCTGCAGGGCAAATGACATAGCTAGCAAGATCAATAGAAAGCCCACGGATTGGGAGAAGATCTTTACTAGCCATACAACAGACAAGGGTCTCATATCTAAAATATACTTGGAACTCAAAAAATTAAACCACCCAACAACAAATCCTCAAAGAAACAACTGCCCAATAAGTAAGTGGGCGAAAGACTTAAAGAGAAGCTTCTCTGAAGAAGAAAGAAGGATGGCCAATAGACACATGAAGAAATGTTCAACATCCCTAGCCATAAAAGAAATGCAAATCAAAACAACATTGAGATATCACCTCACTCCAGTTAGAACAGCAAAAATCAAGAACTCTAACAACAACAGATGCTGGAGGGGATGTGGACAGAAAGGAACCTTACTTCATTGTTGGTGGGAATGTAAACTTGTTCAACCACTTTGGAAAGCAGTATGGAGGTTCCTCAAAAGACTTCACATAGAACTCCCCTATGACCCAGCAATCCCACTTTTGGGCATTTACCCTAATGTTTACAAACAAGACCACACTAAAGCTACCAGCACAACTATGTTTATTGCAGCATTATTTACCATAGCTAAGATATGGAACCAACCCAGATGCCCCTCAGTAGATGAATGGCAAGAAAATGTGGTATATATACACAATGGAATTCTATGCCTCCATCAGAAAGAATGACATTTCCCCATTTGTTAGGAAATGGAAAGGCTTGGAAAAAATTATATTAAGTGAAGTAAGCCAGGCCCAAAGAAACATAGGTCCCATGGTTTCCCTTATTTGCAATATCTAGTATAGGTATGAGTCAAGCGGAAAAGGTCAGAGAATGTGATGTTAGGAAAACGAACCCTCAAATATGTATTTTAATGTTTTTGTTTCTTTCATGCATGTGTCTCTAACGCATTTATAAGATTATTTCTTTGTTGCTTTGTATGTCCCTCCCCCACAGGGTAACCCCCGCTTTCACTATATTTGATGTCAGTATAACATGTGGAGGAGATGGGGACAAACAAGTCGTTTAAGGATTCAGGTGGACCTGTTGCAACAATGAGAAGTACAAAATGTCATGTCAAAACCAGCTTTACAATGTCGGTGTGGGGGGGGGGGGGAGGGAGGGTATGATTGAGTGGGGGGGAAGGGGGAGGCTGGGAAGGGAGGTGAAGGGTAAACAAAGGAGGAGGCTGCAATGCTTGGTAAGAAATGTATGCATTATCCTGCCCATGTAATTGTAACCCCTCTGTACAGTATGTTCTCAAATAAAATAAAATTAAATTAAAAAAAAAAAAGAAATGTTCTCATTATCTTGCCCATGTAATTGTAACCCCTCTGTAGGGTATTTTCAAATTTTAAAAAAGAAAAAAAAGAATAAACTTATCAAAATAAACCCCCCTCCCCCAAAACCCAGCTAATTGGACAAAATAAATGCTTATCTAGCAGCCTGGAATTTGGATTGTACTTCTACTGGGTTCCCTTAGAGCATGTCTTCAGTGTCCCAGATGATCTTCTCCAGTTTGTCCATCAGCTTGCCCTCTAGGGGGCTATTGCACCAATATTTGGACAAAGCTCCATCCAGGCCTCACTAGCCTTGTGAACAGCCCTTGGCCTGACAACTATTTTTGTTGGTCCATCAACATAAAAACTACCAAATCTAAAATTAAAAGCACTTGTGAGAGATTTTTAAGTCCGCTTCTCCATATGTTCACAAAAGACCAAAATGTCTTATATTTCTTATACTATACCTCAATTAGTAGAAGTCCCTCAGGAATTGTGTGTGGTGGTTTCAGATAAGTAAGGTGATGGTTTGGAACTTGAGGTTGCCCATTCAATAAGTTTGAATATCCCTTAAATCTCGGCTTCCTAGTTTCTCTCCTCATCATGGGCAGTTTTTTATAACTAGAACTCCTTGAGTTCCAAAATGGTGTTGTTTCAGCTACGTGATTCATCAGGAATTTCACCATTGCTTAAACAGTTTTTCTTGTTGCAATTGGAGCTATTTGACAAAGCTGTATGGAGCCACCAAGCCTCAGGAAGAAATGCAAGGTGTTCATAATGTGAAGGAAGGAACTCATTACAGAGAGCCCTCGTGGAGTTACGGTAATGAGCTGAGGATTTCTCTGGAGGCCCGTTGCCTGTCTGAAGACAACAGGAGCTTTCAAATCTCCAGTGGTGGTATGTTATTAAGTCCTAAGATTTTTATTTCTCTCTACCTGACTTAATCAGCAGTGGTTGTACTTTTCAGTCACATGAAGTGTACCACCCAAGATTTTCTGTCATGCTAGGCCTCTTGCTCTGGGTCTTAGGGAAGTGGGGGTGGGTGAAGCCTTCAAAATTTAGGACATTCTCAAACTCATTTAGAAAATGGGACAACTATGGTGCTTTCTATTTCTCTGAATATGATTGACATATTGACCTAGAAATAAAAATTAGATAAGTTGGCATAAGTTAAATAGAACCTTAGAATAAAATGTGATATGTACTACCTGTAAGCAGTACAGAGCCTCCATTAGATAAAATAAGTATGTCTGGTTTTTCCTTTTCCTTTTTTTAGATCAAGCACATCATGCTGAACACAGTTCAGTGTTCAGGGCTATGCATGTCAGTATTATTGAAGGTTAATTTCTTTTCTCATTGTGAAAATGTTAAGTGTGGGAGGTGATGATATGTTAATTAGCTTAATTTACTCAACATTGTATTACAAAGTCAGCATGTCACTTTGTGCTCCATAAATATGATCAACTATAATTTGTCGATATATCAGGAGTTATGGTTAAAAAGAAAAGCGTGTAATACAAACAATTACTGAACAATTACAATTCATTAATAGAGGGTGAAGTTTTGAAACCCCAGTGTTCCAATTGGGCATCATTTGTCAGTCATTGGTACAAAACTGTTAGCTATCTAGCTATGCTCTTGGAATACTTTTTAAGATTAAGGCAGATCCAGTTATCATGTGCTGGAATACAGTGTTTATTCTGTTAGCTGAGAGATGAGGCACAGGATCATAGGAACCAGGCTCTGTATATTGACTTTTTCCTTGTCCAGGGGAGACGTGAATGACATTTAGACCTGAGACTCTCCCTCCAGAGCTGTGGCACAGTGAGCGAGGATCAGCCTGCAGAATGTGCTGGTGTCCTGGACATGTAATGCTGAGAGCACACAGCATACCTCTAAATTGAAGAGATGATGATGGCCAAGGCTATGGCTTGAGAAGCAATATATCCCAACCCTGGGGTGGGAAGAAAGTGCTATTTGTTTAGCACAATTCACCATGGAATCACTGAACAGGATAAACAACTCACAGAAAAAAAAGAACACTTCCTACAGTAAGGGGAATCTGGTTTTATTTGCTGATTTTACTCTAGGCACTCAACAAAATCATCTCAAATATTTCTCCCTGGAGAAGCAACTATGATGTTGAAAAACCCCATAGTTTTGGTTGTGGATATTAACTCCTTGCCACAATTTTTCCTCCAGAACTTTATTTAAGCATAATAGAGTATTTGATGTTAGTGAGGCACTCAATGTAGCATTCATTTCTCTGGTGGAAAAATGAGCCATATGTTTTTTGCTAGTCATAGTAATACTAGGCAATTGGATCATTTCTGAGCAGATATATTTTCATCTAAAAGAGAAAACTCTGAGCACTTGTTTTCATTTTTGAAGCATTAGAAGCTATCTGTACAGAGGCCACATGAATTTCCAAATCTGATTTATTTATTTTCCTGCTGGCCTGACTGATTAGAGGTTCACATAAAATTATGATGCTTCTATGCCTTGATTCTATTAGTGTATTCCTCATCTCCCCCTGAAGAAGCAGTAACTGCAAGTAAAATAATAGTCACAAAATTATATATATATTATATATACACACACACACATATATGCATATATATTAATAAAATTCTTTTGTAAATACACTTCTACCAGGACACAGGGATCAAATGGAGAAATGAATCTTCCCAAATGCTCTCAGATACACATAAACACCTTCTATTCTGGAAGCCAGTTGGGAGGCTCACAAAACAAAATGAGTTTAAAAAGTAGTTGCACATAGAGTAACTTTAATCCATTCCGTTTTTAAATACCACAATAAATTTAATTTTTCACAATAAATTAAATAGCCATATTCAGTTTACAAAATAGAATTACTTGGTGTGAAACAAGTATTTACAACAATATACACTATATACATGACATTTCTCTGTTGACATTCAACATGGAAGTAAAAGGACTTGACTTTCCAACATGTGATTGACATGCTACAAGTGACACTATGATTCTTACAAGAAAACAATAGTGCAAAATCACCACAGAAACTTTGGAACAATGTCAAATTTTATGAGATAAGACATTCTTTTAAATAATAAGAAAATAGTATTTTCTTTCCTTTTCCCCCCCCTTCATGGCACCAATGCATCATCTGAATTAAAGAGCCAGTTTTCCCTTAGGAAAAACAAAATGTATAACTGAACCCTCTATTTCCTGAAGCCTCACAGCCATTGGTACATTTTCACACACTCATCTTTTGGCTTAAATCTATATGAATGGCTGGTGACAAATTCTGAATCAAAGGAAGACTAACTCTTTGAGAATAGCTGAAGTCACATTTCCCCAATACCACCACCTCTTTGTTTTCATAAATAGCATAAAAGATGCGACTATGCAGACAGCGATTTAGTATCTTCTTTTCCTTTTTTTGTAAATTTTCAGTAGAAAAAAGAACTGATCTTATATTTGGTCACATGTACAAGTATACATGGAAAAAATGATGTGGATAGGTGTGTCTAGGGAAAGTGCATATCTTAATCTAGAGGAGATATTAAGTGTCTCCAGGCACAACACATAGTGTTGTATGACATAATCTATTTCTTTCTTTAGGGCCAGTTTAATGTCCTCCCAGTGATCTGGTAAAATTTTTGATTAAAAGGGTGAAAGAATTTGCGTAATTTGGTAATGACAGAGGGGTCCACCTCTGGATGAATGCGCCCCTTGCTGCCCGCCAGGCACTTATTAAAGATAATGTTAAAACGCAAGCAGTAAAACCCTCTGGTAGCATTGAAATATAAATTGTATTGACTTATCCTTGGAGGAAGATTTAGGAACTTCTCCACGAGCTGAAGTTCTGGCAGAGGTTCTGTGATGAGGCGGTCTCCATCGACAATGTGAAATTGTTCAATTGGAAAATATTTCAACCACCTTTCCAGATGTTTGGTGTAGATGCTGGTTCTTACTGCCTTGTATTTTGTGTTTACTTCACAGGTATTAGGATCTATGGCCAGCTTCTCAAACTTGTAATACGTTTTATTCTTCCTCTCCTTCCCTTCTAGCACCTGAGTGTAATCAGAAATAGCTCTTGTGGTTGGTTCCCTGACAATGATCAACAACTTGATGGATGAGTTCATCTTGTAAATCCTTTCCGGAACCTCCTCCGTGATAAAATATGCTGGGCTCTTTTCAATTGTAATTTGTTGGGGATAGGAAAAAGGCATCTTTTTCCTATACCACTCAATGCCCTTGGCATAATTCTCATCATTGTCGAAGAAGTGGATTTCTTGAGATGCTTTGACCACTGCTGGGTGGAGGTTCAGCATCTCTAGCAGGGCCCTTGTGCCCCCTTTCCTCACTCCAATAATGATGGCCTTGGGGAGTTGCTGGACCAGGTCATGGAGGTGAATCTGCTCCTTGGAAGAGTTGCCTTTCCGGAACTCATGCAGCAGGCCACGCTTAAACTGTAGGGCACGGAGTGGGAATTCAGCCTGACTGCGGGCTCCTCCAAATCGGCCTTCAATGGGACAAATGGGTTGTAACCTGCAAACAACAGAGAGACCACTGTAAGAAGCTCATTGCCATTAACTTCTCATTGTTCTGCTTCCTAGACTGACTTTAAATGCATAAAGAAAGGGATTAGTTCCCAGTGTGCTACAATCCCTAACGAACATGTTTGGGAAATTTTATTTTAAACCACTGTGTTTTCAATGGGGAGCATATAATTTGTGGGATTTTTTACATCAGTACTTTAAAAATTTTTTATTTGCCTAGTAGTTAATTGACTATGACATGTACTTATGCTCAAGCACAGGATAGACAAGTGACACCAACCAAACTAATAGCTTTTTTTCCCCCCCCAGGTTCTGGGGCTTGAACTTGGCCTGGACACTGTTCCTGGGCCTCTTTGTGCTCAAGGCTAGCGCTCTACCACTTGAACCACAGTACCATTTCCAGCTTTTTCTGAGTAGTTTATTGGAGATAAGAGTCTCATGGACTTTCCTGCCCTGGCTGGCTTCCAACCATGATCCTCAGATCTCAGCCTCCTGAGTAGCTAGGATTATAGGTGTGAGCCTGTGCCAGTTCCTGGCAAACAAATAGCTTTTTAGCCTTTCACCAGTTAAGATCATTTAGAAAACATGAGAGGTACAAGATTATAATCTTCAGCTGAGAGGCAGAAGGGCAGAGAAGAGGCCATTTGTTTTGGGTTTCATCTGGTACTATTTCCTTATAGCTCAGTAGCACTCACCTGGTCCTTAAAACATCTTTTGATATGTAATCTTAAAACAGGTCAGATATCTTCCCTTGACTATTTGCATCATCAGTCTGTAAAATTCCAATTTTGGCACTAGCTGAGCTTTTGATCCTATGAGACTTTCTGTCCTTAACCTTAGGGAAAGCTAGAAGAGCATTATATTTCTTCTGTCTCTCCTCTTTCTAAAGAGGTCAAGATTATATTTTCATTTTGTTGTATGTAGGAACAAACCCAATTACTGTCAGCAAGTATTGTATATAACTTACCAGACCTGAGACCACAAAGCAACAAGACCTCCATGGGGCCAGAGACCTCGGCTCCTCATGGCAACAATATTTAAGTCAGAGATAGAGTTCATAAGAAAAAGAATGCAATGGATAGAAGTAGAAAAGAGGATTTCCACTTCACTATGACCTGGGGTAATAATTCAGCATCTTTGTTTTTCTCACAGAGAATGGCGTGGTTATAGTCACAATACATTCCTAGCGTGACAAGTTTATTTGGCACGTTAATACATGATTAGCAAATTGAGCTTATTTTTACACAGTCTGAAGCTCAACTGAAATTAATTTGTATTTTTTCTAAGTTGATCTGGGAAAGCATTTTAGCCTTTTTGAGAAAGTACGGCAATATTAGTCATAGTGTCAGTGAAACCAGTTTATCCATGTTCAGGCTTCTAGTTACCCCAGTCATTTGAAGTCTTAGTCTGTACTTCTGCAGCCATGAGGCAGGCACCTCTCTTTCCCAAGAGAAGCTACTGCATCTGTAAGCCACACTCTGCTTATTCCGCTGAACTTGTGGAATGCTCCTGGTTTGTGCTCTATATAAATCATCCTCTAGGATAATGCTTAAGGAAGAACGTAAATGCAATATTTTTTAATAGTATTTGGAAAATAATTTTAAAGCAATTGATGCTCACTATGGAAGTTAGAGGCATGGGGTTTACTACAGTCAAGAGAGAAACATGAATTTAGCTTTTTATATATTTAATGGGATTAATATACTAGGGCTCTATATGGAATATATAAAAGTTACATAATCAAAGACTCCACAGAGTCAAAGACTACACATAGGAAAATACTTTTAATTGTGACATTGATTGGGCATATCATAAGATTGTCTTTTAGCTCTTCTAATTTCTAGTTTCTAATTAAGCTTAAATTCACTAAGACATCCATTGATAAGACTTTTCTCCTAAGCCTCTAGAACAATGTTAGTTCTGCTCTTGGGAGAATAGAGGAAATAGACACTCAAATCCATTTTTTATAGGATCCAGTTCTTTCACAGAATCTTGACTGAAGAGTCTGACATAGATATCTCCATCCTAACTGAGATGGGATGGTGATATTTCTACTTCTTCCCTTACTTTCTTTTTGTTTTTGTTTTAAACTTTCAACCCTGGGAGATAATACCTTCCAGAACAATTGCGGTTGAACTTTCCAATGCAAAGAAAGAATGTAAAGAGGAGAACTATTCACAACCCGCCCCCCCTCACTTCTTGAAGAGTACTTCTGATCATGAATCCCGGACCAAGAAAAACACAGAGGTTTTAAGGTTGGAAGTCACAGTAGGAGTAACCATACCTTTTTTTTCCCAGACAGCAAAGTCTCTACTTCCTAACAGATAAGCTCAAGTAAGTATGAATCAAACACAATTTCACATACCATTTCAGACATAATAGTTTTCAAGGTGAATTTTGAGAAGGACCCCCTACCCTCCCCAAACAGTTCAATTCCTTGTAAAAGTCATCCCATTAGAGGCTAAGAAGAGGTTAAAAAGTAAAGAAACAATTGAGTTACTGAATCAAAACTTTCTATATGAGCAAAATAGAGAGTTTATCATTGAATATTCAGGGATATGATCACATGTACTTATTATATGATTGAGATAATAAATAATTCCCCAAATGACCAAATCAACCATATTCAGGTGTACAGTAACTCAAATGGTAAAAGGAAACATGTCCTTGCAACTCTACGCAGAAGTACTTTTTAACAATTTGATGTGATCTGTTGTTACACTGATAACATTAGTGCCTTTGAGTAATTATTATATTTGTTTTTTAAATTACAAGATGAATTTATTCTTTTCATGAAGTGACCTGAAAAAGTACAGAGATGAAGTTTTCATACCATTTATTAGATTTTATTAGCTTTTATTAGCAACTATCCTGAAAATATTTCTCTGAGCCTGATTTTTCTTATTTCAACTTTTTTCACCTTTAAGACAATGTATTATTAAGGTGCTATAATTAAGATACCAAGATAAAAAAGAAACATCAAATAAAGAATGAATCACTAGATCAATGACTCAATAAAAAGTTAAAAGTGGAAACTAAGTGAAAGTATTGGGAAGAACTTGATATCAAAGGTTCCCTCACAGACTAGGACAATGGTCTCACCTCAGGCTTTTCGCTAAATGCTAATTTAGGGAATTACTCCAAGTGTTGACCTGGAGTGATAAGCACTCAGTTATAGTTTGCCCACAAGTAACCACAAGAGAGAAGGAGGTTTACTCATGCTAAAAAACCTTGAAGGGTGTTCATTTTATCAGTTAAAGTCAACACTGACTACAGGAAAACAAGCATTACCATACTATTTCTAAATCTGAACAATAAGATCAACAAATTAAATTTTGGAAAGAAAACTGAAAAGAAGTTAATTTCATGAAAGTGTGTTTTCATTTTCGGTGTCAATGGGAATTGAAGTTGGGGAGAGTGCATATTTCAGTCCTCCCAGGACAAGAACTAATTTTAAAGGAAGTTCACTCCAATCATACTGGATGTGGAACAGTCAGGAACATTTAGCGGAGATTCAGCTGATTATTGCTGAGACTTTTGCAGGTCCAGCATCTACCAACAGTCTGCCTATTTAGACTCAGACCCTCGCTCTTCAATTTCCTCTCTGTGGATTTTCCATTGCCTTCTGGGCAATTAGTCCCTGTGACAGCTTCCTACTCTGGTATGTTCAGCTCCTGAAAAACCAGACCTAATTAACATAGTTAAAAATCCATGCCTGCAGCCCTCTTTCCAGGGCAATGGATTGCAAAGTTGATGAGCATCTTTACAGGAGCATACATAATTTTAATGCTCCCAAGAGCACATTAATTGTCCACTCACAGATTTCAAAAGGAAGATTCGCAGTCCTATCACCAGTGTTTTGTTATGACTAGAGGTCAACACCAGATGTATGCAGACCACACTCTGCTTGAGCAAATGACATCTTTTATTGTACACAGCTTTATCCCTTCTCTAAAAACAAGTGTCAACGTACACAGAATACAAATGGATCTTTATGGAATACCTTGAACGGCGTGAATCTCTTTCTTTTAAAGTCTCAATAAATCAAAATCAATACTGCAGAAAAGCATGTTTCTTGGGGATTTCGAGAGATAAAAACAAACGGAGAGAGCTTTCAATGTCCTAAGGATGTTTACATCACATAACACTTAAAGTCCTACAGGCAAAGCAAGTGTCTAGTCACCCACCTATCCAAGCTCCCAACTCTGGCAACAAGATACAGGAGACTCCCAACGGCGAGGCTTCCCAGGACCAGAAGCTTCTGTCTCAGCCACGCCTGCTGTTTGAATAGCATGGCCCTCCATCAACCTTCAGGACTGCCGAAGCCTGAGAGATGGGAGACAAGACACTCATCAATAGAATCTGCTGACTGAAACAAAGCCAACCAGAAGGGATAAACAGGGATTAAGTGACTCTGCATGAAGAACAGACCTCTATAGGAACCTTCACAATTTTCATGGTTTAACAGGTATTTAGCAAGACTTACCTCCCCGCCCCTTTCTTTTTCCATCTTATGCTGTATGGTCAACTACTAAATCTAGATGGAGAGTATCAACCAGAGAGGAACTGCTGGGCAACTGTTAAGGTGAATTAAGATGCATGCATTTAATAATTGTGTGTGTGTGTGTGTGTGTGTGTGTGTGTGTGCGCACGCGCATTCATATGTATGCTTTTGTAAATCAAAGAACACAGAGAAAAAGCTACTTGAAGCTGAGCAGCAAAGCAAGTTTTCCTTAAAAAATAATGGCAAATGTTGAAATTTCTGTTCAGTAAATAACCATTTTGGGCATAACAATGAGTTATTTTACATACACCTTTTTGTTTCATTTTGTTTAGTTGTGGATGGAAGAAAGCAATATCACAAGTGATGGCGTCATTGCTGAGATTTCCACTGTGAACTATGTCTAAGGAACTTTCATGTCCCTCGTTCAACCCTGGACTCTGGAACATGCTTACCCTTGGTGCTCCTTCTGTGTCACCTCCCTCCCCTGCCTCTCAGTGAATTTTGCTGCTACCAGGCTTGTTCTTACATTACAGAAAAGCTTTAGCTGGAAGCTCCATTCTCTTCTATCTGAAATAATGCCAGTGGAGAAGTAGAGGTCTTTACTGGTGCTGTTATTAAATTTTAGGGAAAAATGTGAGCTCCCAATTCATATTTTTTTATTAAAACTAAATCCAATCTCCCTTCCAAGATAAGATGGTTTGCTTCCTATTGAAACTCAAAATCATAACCCAGGAAGGAAGAAGCTGAATTGTGGTTAGGAAATTGTTTTCTTTTCTTTTCTTTCTCTCTCTTTTTTGTTGGTGCAATCCAATCTCTGTATTTTCTATGTGCAGATCTGCTCTGTGTAAGAGGATTCACTGACTAATCTATTGTTTGTTCATCAAGAAACTGCTGAGCACTGGGAACATTTTCAACCATTCGCATAAGGTCTAGGGTGATTCCTAAAAAGATTCAGTGGGAGGGCACAGCCTCTGGTCTCCCTACCTTTTAAGACTGGAACTTCCTCAGTGGGGGCAGAAAATAATGATCTCATCTTCACTCAGGCCCACAGCCCAGTGTTTGCTTCCCATATGACAGAAGCATTTGCCAGAAGGCTGATAGACTGATTGTGACAGTCCTTCAAATCATTCACTCACTTCTCAGCAGTCCTGCTATTTCCTGATGCTATTTTCTACTTTTTTTAACCTGCTAACCAGAAACAGGGTTCAATCATGAAGTCACTTTAAAACTTCATTCGCCTTCTACATGTAAATGTCCTCCAAGTTTCCTTCCAACACTTTGCTATTACCTTTTGGTTTTTAATTATCTATGTGTGGACCTGATTCATTTCTCTTTGCCAATGGGAACGGTGTTGGGGTTTTTCTGTAAGGATCTTCCCTCCCAGGAAGATCAGTAGAAACTGGGGTGTTCAAGAAAGAGACAGAGGAACAACATTCTAGCCCACTGAGAAAACTGAAAGTATCTGAAGGTGGGGTGGGGAGCAGTAAAGAGGCAAACTTGGTAGATACAGAGCCAGAATGGATGATTCATAAGGATAAAAAAGGCTGACTACTCACTCTGGGACATCTTGGCCTTTCAAGGAGAAGAGATTGGATTTGGTCCAGTGAACAGCGAAAATACATGAGAGACAGTATCAATTAGGAAGATAAATCAGAATGCATGGTCTCATAGGAGAAGAACACAGCATAAACCCCAGTGTTAAGAAATGAGGGTGAGATACTAAGTTCCTGGGCAGAACAAGGCATATTACAGAGAAATAATTTACTAGCACTGATGACCAAAGAGAAAAAAAGATACTCTGTTTTCTGACTTTCTTCTGAAATTGTAAGTTTAAGATTAGTGCATACTCATCAAGTTGGAATTTCTGAGGATGGTGGCAAGTGTGTATTTTCTACAGGCTCCACAAGTTTGCCATAGAGTACCACTGGTGTCCATAGCAAGGTGGACTGATTCATGCTCAGGACCTGTTGTTAGCTTTCTAGGACTTCTGAGTTAGTCTGTAGGTTTAGCTCATTGCGAGCAGATGGTTATAAGACACATAGAAGGGAGCATCAAACACCAAACACTCCAGGAATCCAATACTCCACCTATAGATTCTCTTTTTGGACAAGCCCAGTTGTGCCTATGAAGGTTTTGTTCTGTGGGATAAACTACTACTTCTAGGCCAGGTTCCCTGTGCCTGAGGGGCCTTAAATATACCCATTGGTGCTTTCTCTCTGGAAAATCTAATTTCTCCAGCCTTTTATCATGCTAGCCTACATCCTTGCAATGCTCGCCCTTACATTGTATCTGGTCCATTATACCTTTCAAAGTGCATCCATGTCTGCTGTAGCATTGAGGAGAACCTAATCTTTATGTATGAAATCGCAACTACTTTGAATGAGTTGCTGTTAGGGAAGTGAAAAGACCACAATATCCAGCATCACAAGAAAAGCTGTCTCCTGGTAGGTTAATTTTATCATGGAACTCTTCTGAATTATGCAGACAGTGGGAGCTGTAACAGCTTGTCAGGGCATAAACACTGAGTAGGTATCTATAGGGTATAGTTCTGTGAACATCTGACTCAGACTCTATACCAGAGAAGTATAGTTATTGAAATAATACTTATGATGCATTCTTTCTTTTGTGTGTGCCAGGATTAGGGCTTGAACTCAGGGCCTCTGCACTATCCCTTAGCTTAACTCCTCAAGGTGGCACTCTACCATTTGAGCCACAGCTCCACCTCTAGCTTTTTGGTCATTAATTGGATATAAGAGTTTCACAGACTTTCCTTGTCAAGTTGGCTTTGGACGACAATTCTCAGCTATCAGCCTCATGAGTAGTTAGGATTATAGGTATGTGTCACTAGTGCCCAATTCTTGCAATGGTTTTTAAAGGAAAAAATAAAATAAATGTGGTTCTTATGAGCAGTATCATTGTAAATAAAATCAATGTGAATAAAATAAGTCCATTTTAAGTATAAATATCTTTCAATACAAAGATCTTTTTAAATAATCAAATGAAATACTACAGTTTCAGTTTAAAACAAGATGGCAGGCACTCATATAGACAATCCACCATACACACACACACACACACATACATACACACACATACACACATACACACAAAACAAAAACTGCACACACAGTACTTCCTTTTTCTTTTTTTGTACATTTTTATTGTAAAAACGCTGTACAGAGGGGTTACAGTTACACGAGCAAGGTAATGAGTTCATTTCCTATTGAACATTGTTGCCTCCTCCTTTGTTCCTTGATGAGAGGAAATCTCATCAAAGGAAAATCTCATCAAAAATGAGCCCATTCCCAAAGTTTTTTCTGAGTTTCTTTAGGAGACTGAAAGTAAAATTTAATTCTGTTTTTAACCAATCTCAAACTAGGTAGCAAGAGACAATATCAGAGCAGTCCCTGAGTTTTTAACACTCCTTAGAGCACATCAAAGATATTGGCTAATTGGAAATTCAGGATGCTTCTTTGGTTTTTCTACGATATCACAGAATGGAGACTTAAAAATTGGAAGCTGTTACTCTTAGTCTAGGAGGAGAAGACAAACAATTCAATCTTTATGGGCAATACCTTTAAATTGGTGAATTGGTCTCCAGCCCCAAAGTCCTTTCCCTTTAACTGAGCCTACTTTCCATGGGTATTTTAATAACTTTTCATCAGAAAACACATACTGATAGTAAGAAATTTATATGAAGTTATTTTTTAAAGTTCATAATTTATTCTTTTATATAAAAAAGTAAAAGACCTACTGTGACATTTAAGGCCCCCTCTCTCCAGCGTTCAAGCTCTCAGTGTCTTTCATTTTCTGTGCCAACAACAGCACAATTAGAGTTTATCTAGACTAGGAAAGTTCCAGCAGATGTGGTATCTTAGCCGAATAAAGCTGAGTACTTAAATGATAGAGTATGTGGCCAGAAATGGTGAACTGTAGAAACATCTTGCTGCTTTTATAAAACAACACTAAGCAAAGAAAGAAAGGATTCCCAAACTGCAACAAAGATATAGGGGACTCCTGAACATTGATTAATAATAAAGATATGTCCAAGTACTGCTCAGAGATTTGTGGACATGGTTACTATAAGCCCCTGATACCAGCAAAAAGAATAACACAATAGCAGCAATACAGCTCATTAAAAAATGACTGAATGGATGTGGCAGAATTATTCTGAGACAATCGTAACTCTCTTTTGAGTATTAGCTTCTTGCTCCCAGGCACCAGCTTTATGAGGAGGAAAAGAACTATATTTCCTGGGCATTAGTCTCTGTTTCTTTCATATTTATTTTTCTGTTGTAATTGAACAGACTCATAAAGTATGATCTATTCTATTTTTTTTTCTGATGGAAACTGAAGAGCGGAGAGATGAGCAGACTTTTTACTCAAAGGCATGTGGCAGGCGGATGTAGAAGGAGGATTTAAATTCAGAATGATCTGACTTCAGAGAACATGGCCTGTTGATTGCAATGACATTCAAAGAGCTATGGATTTTCACCTGCAAGATTCTTAATAAACACTTGTTCCCTAGTGGAGGAGAGCAGGCAAAGCCTACTTCACTCTGCCCAACTCATCTGCTGTTGAACTTTGAGGTAGAACATAGAGAGGTGAGGGAAAAATTTTCATGTATGGGTAGGAAAAAGGGGCTATTTGGGTGATTTCAACCTGCAAAAAGCAGAAAGAAGATACTAGTAAATAGTAGTAATAACAGCAGTAAAGGGTAAGGTTTTTATAGTTGGCCAGGTGATTTTCATATTCACCATACCATTTAGAATTAACACTGTCCAGAATAA